CTTAATTGTTTAGTTAGTACAGAAACAATCATAATTGCAAAGAGGCCATCTCTTTTACGCTCGCCAGTGCCCAACGTCACAGAATAGGAGGGAGGAGAAGTGACAAGTCACAGGTGACCGGAGCTAAACTGGAAACTTTGTCGTCTTACCAGACTATACACGACGGTCCGGTGGAATAAGTGGAGGAAGTAATATCCTGAAGAGGAACTGAGGCCGTGATATGGCGTTGGAGGCGGTAGGAGACCTTGCTCTTCACATAATTCTTTTGAAACTAGGTCCCAAAGATACTGTGAAGGTTTCCTGTGTCAGCAAAAGGCTTAGGGATTCTGCTTCTGGTGACCTTCTGTGGTCCAAATTTTGTCTTGATGATCTTGATCTCGTATCCCCTCAAGACCCTCATGGAAACCCTGCTCCCTCTTTCAACGTGATTGAAAAAATGAAGCCTTTTCTGTTGTTTCTGTATTCACTATTCTCGTTTCCATTTTGCTTGAATTTTTTTGGGGATAATTTGGGTGAATCAAAGATTAGATTTTTGTACAGGGAATACAATTTGGTGTTTTAGGTTGCCTATTGTAATGGTCTCTGGTTGTGTATTTCCAGGTAGCTTATCAATTATGGAGAGAAGCTTTTGCTATGTACCCTGGCCACTTGTTCTGCGAGTGAAAAGATGTTGGGGCAGGATTAGGAGCTGGTTGAGCAAGAATTTTCCGGAGGCAGAGGCTACCCTCCGAGTAGGGGCGTCAAAATCTGATATTGAACAATTAGAGAACCTCTTAAAAGTGAAATTGCCTCTTCCCACTAGGGTTCTCTATCGCTTTCATGACGGCCAAGAATTGGCTGCCAAGAAGCTGTCTAGCAATTCACACTTTTTATTGGGAATCATGGGTGGCTACCGTTTCAACAACCGTTGGGTTAATGTCTACTTGTTGTCTCTTAGTGAGGTGATTGTCAAGACAAGGGCGGTTGCTCATCGTCTGGGTTTTCGAAGCAAGTATAAGTACATTGTTGTGGCTGCTTCCTTGACTGCTAGTATTAAGCTTTTTTTCCTTAGCTGCCGAAATGGCCGACTCACTGTTGGTGCAAGGAATATTTTAACACTTGGGGAAATGATTCAGTGTGTGCCAAATTCGCTTATTCGATCTGTGCATGATTCTAGTGGTGATTAGCAGCAAGATGCTATGTTGCTATGGTTAGAAGAACATGGCCGTCGCTTAGAAAGTGGCATTATCAAAGTTCGTGAACAAGAGAATATCAAAAGTATCAGTCTGTTTCCAAAGTTTCCTCCCTTTTGCTCTGTAGCAATAACCAATGGTGTTCAGGTAAATTTCAGGGTGCTATGTGGGGTTACTTTAATACCTTTCTTTAGTAAATCTAGGCAGTTGTAAAATTTTGATATTTATTATGACATTTTCAGTTGTTATTTAATAAGCTATATCTATAGGATTTAAGTTCTGAAAAGCTTCTTGCTCTATTATGATGGCACCCCTTTTCATCCTTTCATTGTTAAACAGGCTTCACTATATCTGTATCCTGCTGCGAGATCTGCTATAAGTTCCATTTTCATTATTATTTTTTCTTTGATTTGCTTCATTATTATTTTTTCTAAGAGTATTAATTTAGTTTTTTCCTAATTCAGATTCGTGCCTCTGCCGTCCTTGTTCCAGAGTTTGTTAACTCTCAAGACCATTTCAGGAAGTACTTGTTTGCTTATTCAATCCGCATGTCTCTCCAGCCTGAAGGTTGTATCATTAATGGAATGACCTTTGACTCCTGCCAACTTTATTGGAGACACTTGCTCATCCGTTCTAACGGTGATATAATATCTAATGTTGATGGAGAGGCCGTGAGAAGAAAGGTAATATCATGCTGGATCATATCATTTTTCCTTCTTGTAATTTATTCTGTTCAAATTTCAGCAAAAACTTTCATGTATAGGAAAAATTAATTTCCACCAGTGAAGAACTGCATCTTTCTTATCCTTTATTAACTTTTTGGTTGCCTATAGTTTTATCAAAATTAGAACCTGAAATGTCTCATCTGCCCAATTCTCTTGTAATCACTTGATATTCTTCATTTATTAACATGATATATATAGGGGAATTTTAAATTTCCAAAAGAGGGTGTAGATCTCACCCTTTTTACATCCTGGCAGTACCTCCTGTGGCCAGGTGAGGGAGAATTTGTTTATGAAAGCTTCACACTTCTACCAGCTTCCTCAATATCAGGTTCTGCCGAAGGTTATTTCAAATTTGTCCCTGGCAGGTAATCTGCTTGATATTGTACATGTGTTGTTTAAGTGGTGATATTAGATTTGATGATCTAGTCAAAGATAAAGGGTATGCTTGTTTTGGTATGCTGTGACCTTTGTGTTACTTAGGTGGTGGTAGTGGTTAAAACTCCAATTTGATCCCTCTACTTTGGTGAAAAGCTTCTTTTTAATCCCTCTACTTAAAAAAGTCCTACTTTGGCAAAAAGCCCCTTTTTGGTCCCTCTGCTTTAATAAAATCCCTTTTTAGGAGCTCTACTTTGAAATTTCCATCATCTAATGTGACACATGTGCAAAACTTAACAAAAGGATTTAAAATGGGGCTGGATTTCAAACTTTAAGGACCAAAAAGAAGTTTTTTTAAGTAGAGGGACCAAAAAGGATCTTTTTCCCAAAGTAGAGGGACTGAAATGGGGTTTAACCTATTACTTAGGTTGAGTGGGATTGCATTAAGCTAAGAATATGTGTTCTATTTGTGTGTCGTCTGGCAAAATGAATCCACAAATTGCTGGTAGATTCTATTTGAGGCGAAAAAAGTCAATGTCGCGCAGCAACCTAAGTTATTGATCTTTTGTG